TTCTTTCCTTCCTTCCTTCTTTTGCCATGGTGTTTCTCTCTTTTCTTCCAAACATGTTCTTCCTCTATCTGCCATTCATATTATCATGATTCCAGTAAAGTGAAAAGAGTGTTCACCTAGCACACAAATATATATCTAACTTACCTTCAGCTTCCTAGTTCCGTCGAGTTCAATTGACCCTAATCAATTAACTCTTTTCTTTCAAGAGCTTTTAAGACCTAAAAGTGTTGTGTGCTATATAACGAGTTATTCGTGTTATAGGCTGCGAGAGCAGGTGGATATAGTGCAATCAGGGTTATAATCTAACTTCAAAAATCAAAAAAGGAAAAATGAGTAGGATTATGTTTAATAAATGAGATAAGATAACAAAACTCGACCGGAATCTGCTATCACGACCATTTGATAAGATGGCATGGACTCCTAGCTCTGATCTGAAGTCACCTAAACTGCATACAGTCAATTCAAAAAATGTTGTCGTCGACCAAGTCAAGCCTACGCGACTGGACCGAAAGGAACTCTGGGTAGCAATCATTGAAGCTGAGTTGACTGCATAATTCTATCTGACTAGTTATGCCTGGTTTAAAGCACGAACCTTCGTAGGCGAGCGGGAAGTGTTGAAGGACACGTATTATTAATGCCTTCATATTTTCCAAATTGTGAACTGAATCATAACTACTTTGTTTCTCTTTCCCTAAACCCAAAGACATGCATTTGATGGATTGTTTCTCGACATTATTATTATTACTAGCGAGAACAATTAATYCAGAACGAATATTTAACCGCTTCAGTGATTTTTACCCATATTCCTTTCGGTCCAGTCGCGTAGGCTTGAGCCGGTCAACGACAACGTTTTTTGAATTGACTGTATATAGCAAGGCGTCGGCGCGCGTCTTTCAGGTCTGAACGATGACTTGGTCCTGACTTTTGAGGCATTTTTTCCAGAACCGATGAAACTAACGCAATGCACTAAATGTGAACCTTTAATTTCAGTGCAAGTCATGTGTAATAGTGCGCGGAATTCATTTTTTAAGGACTTAGATTCATCGTTACATTGCACCACAAAGAATAACATATATACAGACTATATACAGACATAAATTAGTTTTCTAATGATTTTATGCAACGATAACGATTTTATTATTTTATGCAGCAAAAAACAGAATGCACAAAATTTGAACCATTCAGTACAAGTCGTGTAATAGTTGCGCGGATTTCAAACGACGTCATTAATGCTTAAGTCTAAGGACATACCTTGATCTTGCTATTACACTAAACAAACTTCAACCTGATAGTTGCTATGACGTCGCGATGTCATTGTCATGTAACTGTCAGCACGGATCAATTCATAGTTAAACAAACTGAAGGCACAAAATATATCTTGAAGCTGGTTGGCGAAGTGCTTATCATAGGCGCCCACCTACTAGTTTGATATCGATAATCATACGTCGTACGGCGTGAATATGTATATCCCAAGGCTAACACGATGTTCTAACAGGATACAGCTCTAAAAAGCCTATTGTTATAATATCTGTTCAAGAACCTCCCTGGTTCAAGTCGTTGAATTTCTAAGGCAAAGGTGGATTTTCAGTGTCGATTTGGGGGAGGAAAAACGATTGAAATAAATCARTCAGTCCATAATTAAGTGTAGGAAGCCAGAAACCGCGGTGCACATTCGATTGGAAGTTATAAACACCTGCTCAGAAAGAATAAATAATTGGATTTTCTTTAACGTATGGAGAACTCAATGGCTGGCATTTAATGGATCAGCTTTGTGATGGGGTTTTAATAGTCTTCAACTCTTGATTAAACAGTAGACTAAAAGTGAGAACATCTTAATGGCATTGCTCTTCATCGTTTGGATAACAATTTTGGTAATCAATAGCATCAGCGCATGCGCAAATGCCACCCACCCACCAGTACCGTTCCCCTCCCCCCCCCCMAMMARG